TGATAGTGGCCATCCTCTGGTATGAGGTGATATTTCATTGCGGTTTTGATTTGCATTTCACTGATGATTTGTGATGTTGAGCATCTTTTCTTATGCTTCTTGGCCATGTGTATATCTTCTTTGTGTTTTTTAACAACCATGGCACAACCAAAATTTCTAACTAGATCTTTTAGGAGTCATAAGGCTTTGGATGTAGAAAGACTAGGACATGGTTTCACCATATTTGATTACCAAAAGGCAATCAATATTTCACTCAAATGCCAAGTAAGGAGGGAGTTATTTATTTATTTATTTTTTGGCCCAGAATCACCTGATATTTCACCTTAAAAACAAGCTCAAGATATTTATTGCTGTATGCCCAATAGCTTATTACCTATTGAGGGCTATAATGGGAAAAGGCCATCAATATATGGCGTATTTCACTTGGAAAAGATAATTTTTCTCCTTTCTGGCATTTTATATTAAAAAAAAGAGAAATGTCTTGAATATAAAAAGAGACATTAAGAATTCCTACTACTTGCTTTATCTGTGTCAGTAAATTTTCATAATGAATTACAAAAAGGCCTAATTCATTTTTTTGAAGATACTATATTAACATGAAACAAGTTTTCACCAAACCCAGTGTATAAAACCACCTCCAAGTGGGTGTTTTAAGTAATTGTGTCTATACACTAAAGTTGGGATTATGAGGGAGCGTAGCCTCTGTGACACTGCTCACCTGTTGTAAGGTTTTGGTGAAAGGGGTTTTGAAGCCAAGGGTTCAGCATGTGCCCAACCATGATGGTAGGAATATGGGACAATGACATGTGTTCCAGTGTAGCTGGAGCACAAATCTGTAACAGGACAATGTGGGAGATAAAAGATAAGTCTAAACAGTAGGATGCAGACAAATCATGGGTGGCTTTGGAGACTTACTTAAGGAATTTTTTTGGAAAAGGTTTTTGAGTGGGTCAATTTTGAGCATGCCTGTTTTTGGAATACCTTGTATATCAAGCCAGGAAAGTAACATAATAAATGATTTCAACAAGAGTGTGATTGAAGAATTTTTTTTTGTAAGCATCGGGTACATGGTTTTCCTTAAACATTCCCCATATAGAGAGTTCCTTTAGGGTAGAAATGGTGTCTTATTCGGGTACAGGCTTTTCCTTAAACATTCCCCATATAGAGAGTTCCTTTAGGGTAGAAATGGTGTCTTATTCGGGTACAGGCTTTTCCTTAAACATTCCCCATATAGAGAGTTCCTTTAGGGTAGAAATGGTGTCTTATTCGGGTACATGGTTTTCCTTAAACATTCCCCATATAGAGAGTTCCTTTAGGGTAGAAATGGTGTCTTATTCGGGTACAGGCTTTTCCTTAAACATTCCCCATATAGAGAGTTCCTTTAGGGTAGAAATGGTGTCTTATTCATCTTTGCACTCTGACCACCTCTGCCCTTTCAAAAAACAAACCAGAAAGCCACGGCCTGGTCCGCACGACTGGATCAAGTAGGAGCGCAGTTACCGAGGTGGATTTCCGGCATGGCCCAGAACGTGGGCAGTGTGGGAGGAGGCCTGTGCTGAGCTCCACGGAGCAGCAGGTGAAAGCCATTTCCCACCCACAATCCTGGCCACAGCCATCATTCCTTGAGCACTGTGTGCCCGGCATCGTGCAAAACAGGCAGGAAAGCCTGGATCTAGTCCCTGCTCCCCCTTCCTCCTTCCCTACCCCCTCCCCAGCCCATCTCAGGGCACAGCAACCACGTTTTCAGCTACGAAATGGGTGTTTCTCCCTGTAGCCTCCTTGAAACACCCTCTCTGGCTTCCATCTCTCTCTGCTCTTCTGGTTCTCTTCTTGCCTCTTAGACTGCCCTCTCCAGATCTTCATCAGCTTCTCTTACCTGTCACTCAAGTGTGCCTGTGCCACGTGGACTCTCCTCCCTGTTCACGCAATGGGGTCTCTCTGGGAAAGCTCGTCCCCACTCGTGGCTCTAGCTATCCCCTCCAGGACTCCCCAAGTGCTCTGGCTCTGGCTCCTGAGTGCCTCACCCACACGCCCTCTTTCTGGGCTGCCTCACTTAAGTGTCCTCCAGGGACCTGAAACTTAGGTCCCAAACTAACCTGATTATCCTTCTTCCTACACTTGTTCCTTCCCGTGTTTCCTGCTGACTTCCTGGCATCATCTTCCACCCAGCCCTGAACCACCATCCTCCTTCCTGATCTTTTCCTTCATGTTCATAATTCACCAAGTTTAGTTACTTCCGTCAATGAAACATCTGAAATATCTCCAAAATCCAACTCCAATGTGCCATTTCCACCAATACTTCCCTAATTCTTGCCCTCACACCATTTGCTTCAACTTTTGCAATAACATTTTAACTGCCTGCATTTTCCCTTTTTTTTTTTTTTTTCCTTTTTGTCTTTTTTTCGTGTCCGGCAACGGATCGCAACCCTCAGTGTCGCGCCCGTACCGGACCGGGACCGGCAACGGGATTGCAACCCTCTGTGTCGCACCCGCACCTCGCTCAGCCAGTGAGCGGGAACCGGTCTGTATGTGGGATCCGAACCCTTGGCGGGAGCGCCACCACGCTCCCAAGTGGCGCACTGTAGCAGTGCACCACCGGGCCGGCCCTGCATTTTCCTATAAAACCCATCTAACATATACTGAGGTATATTTCCAAATACAGATATTTTTACCCTTCCACTTACAATTTTGTGGTGCCATGTGATTATATAAACTTGGGATTCCTTTGCTTGATATAGAAGGCCCTTTTTGGGCCGGCCCGGTGGCGCACTGCGCTAGTGCGCCGCTTGGGAAGCGCGGAGGCGCTCCCGCCGAGGGTTCGGATCCCACATACAGACCGGTTCCCGCTCACTGGCTGAGCGAGGCGCGGGGGCAACACCGAGGGTTGCAATCCCGTTGCCGGTCGCGGTCCGGTACGGGGGCGACACTGAGGGTTGCGATCCGTTGCCGGACACGGAAAAAGACAAAAAAAAAAAAAAAAAAAAAGAAGGCCCTTTTTAACAGAGCCCCTCTTTCATTTCTTCTGTCCCCCTTCCCATCGAGCCTACGTCATAGCTGTTCTGAACACATCCCCCTGACTTTGCTCAAACTGTTTCCTCTGCTTGGAAAGCCTAACCTCTTGCCCACTCTGGTGAAATCACACTTGTCTCTCAAGGCCCAGCTAAAATGTCACCTCTTGGGTGGAATCTTCTACAACTCTGCCAAGCAGATTCAGTATACTGTCTCCTTTGGGTTCTCAGCACCCTTTGCCAATACTATTCATATTTTCACCATCACCTGATTCTCTCCCTGTCTCCCCTGCTAGGTTGTGACTGCACATGGCAGAGCCTCTCTTATTAATCTTTATACCCGTAGCATAGACCAAGGTGCCTGGGGTCACAGGAGGCGCTTGATAGATGTTTGTGGAACTGAACTGAAACCACAAAGAGCCCTCTCTCTTTCTTTCAAGTTAGTGACTCCAGTGAATTGATTCAGGCCCCCACTTCCCCATGGATTACAGACTTGTTAAAGTCAATTATATGGCAAATACAGACCTTCCTTTAGTCAGAAACAGAAATCTATATCTCTTTAAACTGTGGTTACTGGCTAGATTTCCCCAATAATCGTTCCATGGCTTTGTACCTTTTCTAGCACATGGCAGCTTCCTGCCTTATGCCCTCTCTTAGCTTTCCCCTGATCAATAAGGTATTCTTGAGAGACAGACACTTTGAGAAATGATACATTTAAAACTTGTTTTTGTAGACAACTTCAAGGAATGACCGTGATGCTGCATGTGCACACACGCACGCGCATGTTGACATTTCTATCAGCATAAAACTATTTAATAAGGAAATGTTTAGTTAGCAGTAGGCCAATTAAATAATTCATTTAGTTAATGATATTGTCTTTCATGTTAAATTTAAACCAATCCTGGATGGTAATTAACAGGGTCATTAACAATTGGAAAATGTGTTTTAGAAAAGATTCAGAGAGCTTGCTTAAAAGAATTTGGTGGAGAGATACTTAGCCACGGCTGTGACAGTGTGAATGGGGCAGAATAAAACCAGAATTGAGAAATGTGTCAGTTTGATTTATACGTACATTGCTAACTGTGGAGACTGAGCGTGAGTACTAGAGTCTGCTAAAGAGCCAAAATGACATGTACAAATCTTGATCCAATTAAATTGTGGCAGTAGCCACATGCCACCATAGGATTTGACAGTGGAAATGTGGGCTGCTCTAGGAATGTATTGGAAGGTAAACAGTTGCTTGAATCACCGTTGCAAGGCTGCCATCTACATTCTGCTTTATTTATATATATGATACTTTTTCTTTCCTTAAGAATTTTTAAGGTGTTAGGCTAAAATATAGCCAATGCTTGAGAATATTCATTTTAAAATAGTGGTGGATACTGTCTGGATGTAAAGTTATGACTACTTTAAAAAAATAGTCACAAATCGGCTTAAATTTTTTTCTCTCCTTAAACTTGTGCTTCACGGAGTATGGAGCAAGGAAGGTGTGAAGACTGGCCCTGAGCGGATAGCTGCACAAAGGCTGGGAAGTACACACAGTGCCAGAAGCTCTGAGTTCCTAGAGCTTGAATGTCTGCTGACTGTGGCTCTCCTGTCTGGTGCAAAAAGGGTGATTAGGTTGGAGCTGTCCATGCTTGGGCTGAGAGGAAATAAATTTAGTTATTTGCACTGAAGCCCAGGGAGGCTTTTTTGAAGTGTGTGGGGCAGATCTCTGCTCGTGCTCCCCGTTCTTCTCACCCCACCCTTTCTTCCAGTGGGGCCCTTCTAGGCTTCCCCTGCCCTTCAACAGAACGTGGTGCATCTCCAATTTGCATGAACCCACAAATCCTATTCTTACCACTTTTAAGGTCTCAGCTATAAATATTTTCCAGAATTCTAGCAGTAATTAGACAAGCTACTATGAAAGAGAGAGCATTATACATCAGTTAAAAACATATGCAAAACCAAGGTTCATTAGAGAAAGATAATATTCATGCAGATTTTACAAACCGTGTCTTTAGGGTGGCCCAATAAGTAGAAATATGGGGACCCATGCTTGTCACTTTTCATGCACATGGAGAGACTGGAAGGTACCATTCCTAAAGGAAGGGGAGGAACAGCCTAGGACCAATCATTAGAATTAACAGAACCAGTGACAAAGATATATTACTACTGTTAGAATCAAGATTGCTTAGTATGTTTAGAACAGTCAAATAAACATTATCTAAGTAGTAAGAATAAAGACTTTAAGTAAAGCTAACCCTATCAAGCATGCAGCAAGTGAAATTAGTGAAAGACTGAGCTATATATGTATTTCAAAAGCAGATTTTTCTCAAGATATTGAGGGCATCCTGAGGTGCTTTCATGGAGGCACAAATATTAATAAAATTTGAAATGGTAATATCTGAATTCTTGTAGAATTTTCTAGTAATGGGGTGCTTTATGATACCAGCTGTCATTTGAGAACCAGTCACAGTAATCATTTCTAAATTTTAAAAAATTCAAAAAATAAAGACATGGTGTCCCCATGTTTATATTTATGTTTTCTCTAATAATTTCATAAATTCTTATAGGTCCCCTCACCTCTAACACTTTGCTTATTTATATTCAAAGTTCACAGTTGGCTTGCTGGATATACCTGCTTTCTAGAATAAATAAAGCTGAAAAAGCATGCAGCAGTGTCTTGTCTGTCCTCTGCCGTACTCACCTGCCTTGTGCTGCGCTTTCCGACCAGCCTCTTAGTGGCTGTGTGTGTCTAGTTCAACTCGTGGACTATGGTTCTTTTTACCTACACAAGATGGTGCTAGAAATTCTAGAGTATCTAGGTCAATATTCTCCGAGCAACATGCCCCTAGGACAGACAATAACTTCTCCCTGCAATGCTGGCTCCTGTGTTCTCAGCTCTACCCAGGCTGAGGTAAGGAAGATGTGCTCACTGTGAGGTTGATGGGATTAAAGGAACTTAATCCACACAGCTCAGACATTTGGAGGCCTCGTTCCCTTTTGGCCAGGATACATGGATGGCCCTCTCCACATAAGTGCCCAACTGGTTCCACACGTGGTGCTGTGTATATATGGCTTCAAAGGAGAGAATGGAATAGCATTCCACATTGATTTTGGATTATGCCCCAGGGATGTTTTTCATAGCACAGTGTGTGTCTGAGGGAAGGGAAAGTACAGAGGGAGACCTAACACCTCGAGGTTAAATGGAAAGTAGAACTTCTCCGTGCTAAGGAAGCTAATGCTTAACAATGAATGTCAGAAGTGGAAATTAAATTTCAGGATTTATTAATTGAGTTTACCACTTAGCCCTGCCAGGATGCAAGTAATTTTGTATGAGAGCAATCAAGCTGTTTTAGTGTCACCTACAGAAAGCTCTCATTTGGTTTTAAACACGGCCTTTACTAGGCTTGAACGACACATGTGCTGGGAAACCTCATGCCCAGAAGGTCAGATAAAAGGGTTAAGAACATGGTGGAACTAAATTGCTGTGAAGCCTGGAGTAGAAACTACAGTGAAACGTGAAAAACAGAGAGTTGCACAGTGTGCTAGGCATATAGAATGCCCACATTATGAATATATGTGTCCAGCCCTGAAACCCAGGGCCTGACAAAGCCAGGGTCACTATTTGTTGGAGAGGGTGTGCTGAAAAGACCAGAGACCCTACAGAAGTGTAAAAGCATGTCATTCTGCAAGCAAATGTCTGAGCTGCATTGCACCTAACAGCTGTTTAGTCTGGGCTAAGTGCGTGTTTGTTGTTCTTCAAAAACATCTTGAGGGCCGGCCCCGTGGCTCCCTCGGGAGAGTGCGGTGCTGGTAGTGCCGAGGTCGTGGGTTCGGATCCTATATGCGATGGCTGATGCACTCACTGGCTGAGTGTGGTGCAGACCACACCATGCCAAGGGTTTCCCCTCCTTACCGGTCAAAAAAAAAAAAAAAAAAAATCTTGAACCCAAATAGCATATTGAAGAATATGAGATTTTCAAAGTTTAGAGATTTTCCCACAGTCAGGGCATATAACCCAAACCTGGAGTAAGGCATTATATGATTTTATCTTTGGTTGGTCCTGAGGGGAGAAAAACTTCTTTGGGAACTTTTACTTTCTTGGTAAACTCTTACTTTATCACCGGTCAAAAAAAAAAAAAAAAAAAATCTTGAACCCAAATAGCATATTGAAGAATATGAGATTTTCAAAGTTTAGAGATTTTCCCACAGTCAGGGCATATAACCCAAACCTGGAGTAAGGCATTATATGATTTTATCTTTGGTTGGTCCTGACTAAGGGAGTTTAGTTAAGAAATATTGAGAAGTCTTTATCAGAACAGGGCATTGGGGCCATCCTAACTCTGAGCAAAGCTGTAGGCAGAGTTGGTGAATAACAAAAATCTGGCCTTATGGCAAAAATACGAAGATGGTAAAAAGATCAGTGGTTTTCAGGGGTTAGGAGGGAGGGAGGGATGAATAGACAGAGCACAGAGGATTTTTAGGGCAGTTAAAGTACTCTGTATGATACCATAATGGTGGATACGTGTCATTACACATTTGTCTAAACTCATAGAATGTAGAACACCATGAGCCCTAATGTAAACTGTGGACTTTGGGTGATAATGATGTGGCAATGTAGATTGATCAATCGTAACAAAAGTACCCCTCTGGTGGGGGTTATTGACAGCCGGGGAAGCTGCATGTGTGGGCAGAGGTACGTGGAAATGTCTCTACCTTCCTCTCAAACTTGCTATGAACCTAAAACTGCTCTAAAAATAAATTCTTAAAAAAAGCTGGCCTATGGACTCACTATTTCTTCCACTAGAAAGAGGTGTTGAGAGCACTCTAGTTTAAGAACTAAAGCTGGTAAGTGATTTAGCTAGGGAAGACTAGGATAGGGCAGTAGGCATGGGGATCTCTGAAGTGACGCTTTGGAGATTTGACGTTTCCAACTGTATGGAAGCTGGCTAGACCTACCCTAGAATTTGCTTTAAGACATTGGACTCTGCTTTGAGGACCTGAACAGCAGGGCTTTCTTGGCAAACTACTTCATAGGGATCAAAACCTTTTCTGTAATGTCTCTATTTAAGACAAAAGAAAATCAGACAGTGGAGAAATAGCTTTGGCAGGTAGCAACAACTTCATAATGGGTCTAGCTGAGGTGTTAGAAGGCTTGTCTTGAACTACACTCTCATGCTGTGAGCCACAGGGTCATACTCTAGGCTCAAATTGTCAAAAAGCCATGAATTGGAAAGTGGGAGAACGATGGGAGGAAAATCTGGTATCCTTTCTTTCTTTAGGTTTCAATGGCTGTAGGTCTTATAATGAAGAGCAATTCAGAGATGGGCAAAGGAGGAGCCAGGCTGCAGGGCGGTTGGGGAGGCAGTGCGTGTGGTACACACTCAAACAGCGGGAGGCCAACAGGACACAGAGAGGGCAACACAAAGTCCAAACTCCTGTGGGCCTGGCCTGTGCAACAGAGTTACATCCAACAATCTCCAGGGCATGACATTCCCTGGACTTTCTGGGATGGCACTTAAAAAATATAGAGTGCTGGGCCAGATTGACTCAGTCAGAATCTCCCGAGGGTATGTGGAGAGTGAGAGGGAGTGCAGGCACCTGTGCATTTAAAAGGCTGAATCGTTGCTCTAAGACTGCTGTGTATGTGTGTGTGTGTGTGTGTGTGTGTGTGTGTATGGGAGAGAGAGACAGAGAGTTCTGACTCATCTTAAAGAAGTGTTAATTTTTTCTCTTCTTCTGTATCATAAGATTTTCTGAGTCTCCATATGACCCCGTCCCTTGCTCCCTGATCTCCACTCCTCATCCCCCCACTCCTCCTCCATGTAAGAAACAATCTGTTGGATCTGTGACTTCTTTGAGGTTCATTCCAATGTTCTTACAGTATTCAGCAGTTTCTAAGAAAGCGGCCTTTCTTTTGTGGAAAGCAGCCCTCTTGTGGGAGAGGTCATCTTTGTGTTGGGGCAAGGAAGGGAATGTTCTTATTAGACCCTAAAATATGACTCTCCAGAACGGGTTACTGGAGGAGCTGGAATATTCGGGTTTTCCAAGATCCATGTGGGTGCCCTTCTCAATGTGGTTTGGGAAAGATATCGCTTCATCTGATCATCTCCTTTAAAACTTAAATGTTTGGGAATTGAGGGAAAATGGACCTCAAGAGCTAAATGGGGTCTTGATAGATTTCTTGATCACCATGTGGTCTAATAGATTTTATCAGAGTTTGAAATATCTAACAAGTGAAGACTTGCAGGTGGGGGAGGGGGTTACTTAACATATACTTAAAGAGAAAATGGCATGTTGGAAATTATGTGAGAGTATCTAAAAAGAAGGGATATCACCATAGTCCATCATTTTTCTGTAAAACAATGTGAAGAAATGGTATTTCACTCTCATCCTAAAAATGCTTAAAATAATAAATGAGGTTTTTGCTGAGCATCAGGGAAAGGAATTTCAGAGTTGTATGTTCTTTAAGGAAGCCCGTGCCTCTGGCTCCATGAAACAGGAGCCTATTGCAAGTTTTATGGTTAGAGAATTTCCTGGGGTCACCTAAATGCTTCAGAGAGCAGTCTTGAGCCCTTTAGTCAGGAAGAACCCTGTTCTTTGCATCGTACAGCCCAGGGTTCTGCCAGACAACCTGTCTCCTTCCCTGGGTGCTTTATCATTTTCTCTTACTCAGCAGAAGGTGTTCTTGAGTGATTTGTGGAGCCTCTCAAGGAAAAGGAAGATATGCTCAACCATGAATGTCAGAAGCTGAAATTAAATTTCAGAATTTATTATTGAAGCAAGTGCCTTTCACCCTATTAAAAATGCAGGTGAATTAGTGCAAAGGCTATGGAGCCACTTAAAGCTCTCATACACGTGGTCTCTGAGGAAGAGGCTAAGGGAATGGTGACTCTCCTTTTGTCTTTTACTGCTGGGGCATATCAACACACCTGAGAGGCCCCAGGACGCGAGGCCAGGACCGAAGGGAGGTCAGGATATGAGGCGATGCCGCTCCAGGCTCCCAGTGTGGCTGATGGCCACAGCAGGGGAAGACTAATGATTAGCAAATTTGTTAGGTGAAGTTTTGACTCACTAACTTGGAATTAAGAATAAT